GGCTGAATAGCAAGAAGAAGAGTGAGAGTTTACCTCTTCTTCATCTGCCATGAGGCATAGTTCCTCTGATTCTTGGCTGTAGAGGCATAGTAGTCCTTTCTCCTCATCACTGCTTTCGTCTTCTGAGCTTGAGCTTGAGGTACTACTTTCGGGTATAGCTTTTTCAGTGTTTTCGGCAACCACCATTGCTTTTCTTCTTCCCTCACTCCTGGAGTTTGATGATTCTGGTTTATCACTTTTCTTGTGTTTTTCTCCAGATTCCCTTGAGGAGCTTGTGATATCGTTGCCATCTTGATATTTGCTAACCATTGGATAAGGGCAGCTCGCTTTGAAGTGCCCTGGCTTTCGGCAGTTGTAGCACAACAGCTGTGAATCAGTGGTTTCGGTCTTTGAAGCCTGAGGGAAGCTTTCATGCTTCTTTCGGTGGCTTGACCGTTGTGGATCTTGGAAGTTGTTCTTTCTCATGAATCTTTTCATCTTCCTGACAAATAGTGCATATTGTTCGTCAGTTAAAAAATCACAAGAGTTAGATTTCGACCTGTTAGGGGTTGACGTCGCCTGATTTGCTACGAGGGCTATATTTCTCGTTTCTGGTTCCTCAGCATCTTTCGGTTCATGTTCAAACTCATATGCTTTGAGATCACTGAAGATTTTGGCTGTGGGTGTTGTTTTCATGTCACGATTATCTCTCATCGCGATGACTTTCATCTCCCATGACTTCGGCAATCCACGAAGAATTTTTAGATTCATCTCCTTTTCGGTGAGTTCTTTTCCAAGGTCTGATAAGTCTCCCATCAGTCTTGTGAATCTTAGCTCCATCTCCATGATCGTCTCGTTTGGTTGCATCTTAAAGTCTTCGAACTTCTTCATGGCTATTGTCAGTTTGTTGTCCTTTTCTTGTTCATCTCCTTCTCCCAAGTCCATTAGAACTTTCCATACTTCCATAGCATTTTTACATTTTCTGACTCTTGGGAAGAGTGAATCATCTAAAGAGTTGTAAAGAATGTTCCTTGCCACATTGTCCAGATTTGCTCTTGTTCTTTCTTCCGAGGTATACTGCTCTTTCGGTTTAGGTATCATTTGTGGAGCATCTGGTCCTTAAGCAGCAGCCTGTGCATTTGCCATCATCACTGTGATAGGTCCAGTAGTTATGACGTCCCACATTTCATCATGAATAGAGCACAGAAGAGCCTGCATTCTTAATTTCCAGTCATCAAACTTGGCAAGACTAAAAGCAAGCTGTTTAGAGCGATTTTGTGCATATTCTTTTTCCATTTAAAAAAAAATCGTGCAACGAAAAAGATCCAAAAAAAATTCAAAGGTGGATCTACCAGGCAGTAAAATGCAAAAAGCCTTTACAGATCAAGGTATTCTGCTCTGATACCACTTGTTGGTCCCGATAGATAGAGAGGTGAGTCTAGAGGGGGGGGGGTGAATAGACTCTCGTTTTTCTTTAGATTTTTAAAAGAAAAAAAAAACCTGTCAACACTTTTGAGTAAGATAAGCACAGCGGAAAGGTTATAAAGAGAGAGTTGCACGAGTTTGATAAAAGGATAAGATGAGTGATGAAAAAGATGATATGCAAGCAGTAAAATAAAGCAGTAAGTAAAGAGAAGAGCGAGACGAGATTTTATAGTGATTCGGCCAAACTTTGCCTACTTCCACTCTTCTTCCACAACTGCTGGAAGGATTGCACTATCACTCTTTAGTACAATTACACAAAGACTTCCTTGATCACTAAGCCGGACAGCCTTTGAAGGTTTTTCAACTCCGAGAGTTTACTCCGCCTCTATCAACTTCTTCTTCTAAGTTGAGGTTGGTGAGAAAGTATTTCTTGATTCCTCCAACTGTGAAGTCTTGTCGGTGTAGAATGATTGCTTCAAGAGTGCAAGACTTCTTACAAGATGTAGGGCAGTGATGGGTGATCTACTTCAAATGCCTTAACACCTTGAATAACTGGTTCGCAAAAAGCTTTGAGATTGTTCACTTTTTAAGAGCTTTTTGCAAGAGAGTGAGTAGAGTGATAATGAACCAGCACCTTCTTAGTTGATGAAGGTTGGTTTATATAGGCGATGAAAATTCATCCGTTGGAGGGAGATGAATTTTTTTAAACCTTTTATCTGTTGGACAAGGACCATGGAGCCTCACGCATTTAATGCTCCATTAATGGGTTTGTACTATGTAGCCGTTGAAGGTATGGAGGATCTGATGACTTTTGTCTTTTAGCTCCAGAGATAGTACAACTTCATTAAATGCTCTTTGGATAGCGTGTCCCATGAGTTGAGGTCCTTATCATCCTAGGATGTTGTCAAATCCGACAGGTAGAGCATTCTTCTTGTTGGTGAGAAGAAGAATACTTGTTGAGATAGTCTTGAAAAGAACCGTCTTTTTAATGACAACTCCTTCTTTCGTTGCTGTGGAGTCTTCTTTCGCCTTGATCAGCCTATCTTCTATTCATAACTCTTTTCGTGTGTTTGTTCTAGCTTAACACAAATTACATATGAGTTATGGCAACTTTCGTCTAGAACGAAAGTAGCGATACAATTAAAACGTAAGAGTTAGGGGTCTACTTTCTACATTACATTGGTATCATCAAAATCCTAATACAGGGTTCCTAACACAATCAATATTCAATAGTACTAAAAGTATTATTTGAATTTTTATACATAAGATATAATATTATTAAATCAAAATAATTAAAAATAATGTGTCCATATTACAAAAGATTTTATAATAGTAATTTTTATTGCATAATAGAATTTGGCAATTATTTTAAACATTGTTTATGGTAATTATTGTATGACATTTAATACTAAAATTATTAGGTAGAATTTTTATAATTAAGGTATAATATTCTTAAGGTACAACATTGCTTATATATGGTTTACCCGTATTAACCATCACTATATTAAATTAATATATAATTCTTTTAATATAATATATTATTAAATCTAAACATATGATTAATATTTATTCAATATTATTACGGAAGTATTACAATTATAAATTTTACTTCGTATTAAATTTTAAATGGCTTAGCATATCGAAACAAAAATGGTAAGTCAATAACATTATTTTACATTAGTAAAGTGGATTTATATCAAGGAATGTCAGATGAAGAATAAAATCAAAATAATACTCCATTGAAAAAAAAGCCACAGTACTTAATCATTTAAAAAAAAAAATTTAAATGGCAAGAAAAACGTCTTGAAGGGAGAGACAAACTATTATTACAAAAAGTTTATACTTTAAAGACGGAGAAATTGAATCGAAACAAAGTCCAACGCTTTGATATATTGACAACTAAAAAATGCTTTTAATTTCATTTTGGTTTTTATTGTATTCTTAGTATGCTTCCCTCTGTAAGTCTATATCTATTTACATATACACATAATTCGTTCCTCGATCACAAAACTTTATCATCTTCATGAGCAAGGAACTCTATTGCTTCTCGATCAATCTTTCTAGATCCATATCTTCTCCACACAAATAGACAATATATATATATATATATATATATATATATATATATATATATATATATATATATATCAACATTTTTTCTTATGAACCACTTTTGTTGTTTAAAAACCATAAAATACAAAAAAAAAAAATAAATAAAAACAAAACAAAACCCAAAAAAAAAATAAAAAAATAAAAGAAATTAAGATGATGAAAACCTCACGAATGCAAATCACGTATCAACCTCAATTGTGGAAGATCACATGATGATTAGAAGTCTATTGCTTCCCATCAATATTTCTAGATCCGTATCTTCTCCACACAAATAGACCAAAAAATATATATATATCAGCATTTTTTCTTACGAACCACTTTTGTTGTTTAAAAATCAGAAAATACAAAAAAAAAAAAAAAAAAAAAAAAAAAAAAAAACAAAACAAAACAAAACAAAACAAAACCCAAAAAGGGGAGAAAAAATAAAAGAAACTAAGATAATGAAAACCTCACCAGTGCAAATCACATATCAACCTCAACTGAGAAAGATCACATGATGATTAGCAAAAATCAATGAAATAATTAACCTTAGTTGGGATTGTGTATGGTCATATAAGGTGTATTTATACACAATGGATGAGATCAAAAGGGTTTAGTATTGAAATTATAAAATGGTCAGAGATCTCAAGAAAGGTAAAATCTTTAATATTATTAAAACTAAACCATTAGGGTTCTGTTACCAAGCCTCTTCCTCTCCAATTTCTTTTTGTTGAAACCCATTCACAGTAGGCTAGAGGTCCTGCTTTTTAATCAAGTAACCACAACACAAAAAATCACAATAAATTAATGAGTTAATACCCAAAATCGTCCTCGACTATAGTGGTTTTTCTCAATTTCATCCTAAACGACTTTGGTGACCTAATATCGTCCCAGACTTTTGTGTTTCGCTCAATTTAGTCCTAGACTTTTGTGTTTTTGCTCAATTTAGTCCCTCATTTGTTATTCTGTCCATTTGGTGTTAAATAAATAGACAATTCAGTAATTTTAATATTGGCATCTCTTTACTCATAGACATGTGAACTGTGAAATCCTTTTTTTTTTTACGAATTACTCCCATAATTACTCCTAAAACTGCGAATATAAAATTTGATTTGCAGGTCCGGGAGTAATTCTGGATGTAATTCGTACAAGAAAGAGGAATTTCGCACTTCACAAGTTGAAAGTAAAGAGAGATCAATATTGACATTACTGAATTGTCCCTTTATTTAACACCAATTTGATGAAATAACAAATGGAGGACTAAATTGAGCGAAACACAAAAGTCTGGGACGATATTAGGTCACCAAAGTCGTTTAAGACGAAATTGAGAAAAACCACTATAGTCGAGGACGATTTTGGGTATTAACTCATAAATTAATAAAAACAACTAATCCAACATCCATAGTGCAATACTTTAATTTCAAGGTATTTAAACAAAAAATATCAAAATCAAATAACATATAATCCTAATATAATCATACTCTGTAATCACTCTCCACTTAATAATGGTGTATGCAAGTGAGGTTTTACCTACAAAATTGACCTCGATTGCTAGCCAGGCCAGCTTCCTCGTGAGGCTTTTACATAGAAACCTTCTTGATTCTTCTTCTTCGTGATTAAATAATTCGACAACGATATTTATATATACCAGGCGGAGTATTTACGTCCAAAAGAAAAAGTTACCATACACAATATATATTACCAATTATGTAATATTATCATTTAATAAATTTTAATTAATTTTCCTTTTACATTTGTTTACCAAATATAAGTTTTACTACAAAAGTTTGGGCGGGAAAATGAAATAGGAGGATTTTACTTATATATAGATGGGATGCCGGTGTTCTGTCGCGTAGTCGGAATTGGACCGGAGCTGGCGGTGATAGGCGGTCTCGACCCGGTGACACATCAGCATCTGAATTCAGTTTTCATCTACAACTTCTTATCCGCCACGTGGAGGCGCGGCGCCGACATGCCAGGAGAGGATCGGATGTTCTTCGGATGCGCGGCATCGGCGGACGACAGGACAGTGGTGGTTGCCGGCGGAAGGAACTGGGACAATTTCTGGCTGAAATCAACCTTGGCGTACGACGTGGCAAGGGACATGTGGACGACGTTGTCAGACATGTCAATTGGGAAAACCGAATGCACGTGCGTGTTCCATCGTGGCAAGTTCCACGTACTCACCCGCTATAACAAGGACACACAAGACGATTCCAAACAAATCGTCGAAACACTCGACCTTGTCACCCGCCAGTGGCGCGTAACCGACATAGTTACAGACTACACCATCATACCGTTTCAGTCTACCTATGTAGATATCGGTGGAGTAATATACACGGTCAAGGGAAGACGTGACGTGGTTGCACTAGTGGACACCACGTGGGTGTTTGTCGCAAAAATCCCAAAAGATACATTCTATGCGACATATGTGACAGGGTGGCCGGAGAATATGATGGTTATTCGAAGTGTAAAATATGGTCATGAAGCTAAGAGAGCTTATGTGCTGGAATTGAAAACTAAGAAATGGACCAGAGTAAAAATCCCAAGTGAGTATTGTGGCGGCGTTCAATTCAGTTGTTGTATACACATTTAAAAGGAACAATTTTATTTTGCCCTTAAAATAGCGTGACAGACACTCTTTTTTCTTTTTCTTTTTTGAATACATATGTCTTAATTAGATTATTTAGATTCAATGATTTACAATGTGTTACATTTCGACAATATATTTTGGAAAGAACATATATGGCGAAAATGTGATGCATGCATTTCAATTGTTTTAAGTTTCTATTAGAGATTAGAGATTTGTACATAAGTATTTGACTAAAGTGGAAGTAAAGTTAAGTAAGCCATATAATGCTATGGCAATGGGTGATCGTGTGTGTGTGTGTGTGACGGCAAATTATGCTGTGCATCCGTATGCACCCTGCATGGTGCATACGGATGCAAAAACGACGTTGTTTTGCATAAAATGCGCGCCATACTTAAAAAAAAAAATCAGTTTCGATTCTCAGCAACAACATTATGTTATTCATTTTTAGTTCATTCATTTTGGATTTTTTAGTTATGAAATTCTGGAAGTGTAGTTATGCAATTATGCAATTCTGAAATTGTAGTTATGCAATTCTGAAATTATAGTTATGCAATTCTGGAAGTGTAGTTATGCAATTCTGGAAGTGTAGTTATACAATTCTGGAAGTATAGTTATGCAATTCTGGATGTATAGTTATGAAATTATGGAAGTGTAGTGAAATATGGATGTGTAGTTATGCAATTCTGAATTATTATTTTTTAAGTTAGACGCCAAAACGACGTCATTTTTGCATCCGTATGCATTATGCATGGTGCATACGGATGCACAGCATAACGCTCCGGTAGAGACTTAGATTCTTCTTTGGGTGATACTGCTAAAAGATTATGAATATTTCAAAAAAAAAAAGGTTAAGTAAGAGAATTAAAGTCGATAGATATTAAATTGGAGGTATTTCATAAAAATAAATGAATAATATACTCTTTTTAGAGTTTTAGTCCCTTATTAATTTAAACTAGTAATCTATTCATGCTATGCATGAAAAAAATTAGAGAAACTACAATAATCTTTTAAAATAAAAACTTTATTGTATATATACATACACAGACAATGTACTATTTAGTATTTACTAGTGTGTTTCAAAACGTTTGAGAATTGAAATATATTTCTTTTTTTCATTAGTATTTAATTTCACTATAAATTTTTTACTATATTGAATTTGTTAATAATTTTAAATCTATTTAAAAGTCTCACTCAAACTATTTTTCTGTTCACATGCTTTACGTTTGAAAATAGACACAATATTAGTGCAATTTCACTATAAATTTCCACTAAACAGGATTCTTTTATAATTTAAATCTATTTAAAAGTTTCACCCAAACTATTTTTCCTTTCACATGCTTTATGTTTAATTTGGAGATACACACAATATTAATGCATTATATTTTTATTGCTAAAAAATTTGTAATATTCATAATGTCACAATATTTGTCTATTGATTGTCTATGAATCAACTTTTTCGTCTATCGATTGTTTATAAATCAACTTTTATGAAGTTTTAATAACACTTATGATCTGCTAATTTGCATTGTAATATCTACTCTTTAATTTAACAATAACGATGGAGTTCAAAAATTTGTATTTGACAATATATAATTTGTGTTTAATTAATAAGTAAATTTTTTAATGCGGAATGAGACCAGTCAATTCATAATAACAATATATATATAAATAGTTATATTGCCACACTGAATGAATTTTGGTCAAAGATAGTATGAGATTGCCAAGCTACTTTGATTTTTGAATTCCATTTAATAGTGAGGATGGCAACTAGCTAGCTAGCTTGAATGCCCGCAGAATTATATACAATAATAATCTATCATGGGATATAAGGATTTTAAAATGTTGAAGTGAAACCAATTCCCAAGTAGATAATAAAGCTAGCATAGAGAGAATGAAATCAATGTATCCCATCAAAATTTTCTCTCGAAAATGCTATAGAGTTATATGTGGTGAACAAAGGGAGGAGGACATCTAGAAATAGGGTGGGTCTACCAGTTTGGAGACAAGTAGATAACCATATACTGTAAATCTATGGGTGTCCCCCTTCCTTCCTTTCTAAAAAAAAACATATCACCGCACAAATATGATAACAATACGTTGGGTTTATGGAATAATTCTGGAATGAAATAATATTTTAGATAACTGAAAATTTATATAGCAAGATTGTAGCCTTTAAACATATTACCACAATAAGCAATTAGAGGAGTTATTACTCTGTCTTAAGTCCCAACCAGAATTTAATAGGAGTAGTTACTCTACATAATAGTTCAGATATAATGCAACAAAAATAACCCATCAAAAATATATATATATACACAAGATATTTTTTAACAAAGTTAGAAAACATGTCCTACTCTACAGGACCACGCCCAAAACTTTTACATTCAAAATCAATTCAAAATTTTTAATCATAAATGATTAATTGCAGGTACAAAATATATCAATACAAACACACATAATTTTTGGATTAAGTTTCACAATGCAATATGCATGGACCCTGTTCATGGTATACCAATTGCATAATTTAAATTTAAATGTTATTGTCGACCAAGGTACAGTGAATCTAGGTCCATGTTAGGCAAATTATGCTGTGCATCCGTGTGCACGATACATGGATGCAAAAACGACGTCGTTTTGACTAAAAACGCGCGTCCCACTTTAAAAAAGATTCACTTTCGATTCCCAGCAACAGCATTATGTTGTTCATTTATTCTCGATTTTTAGTTCATTCATTCTAGATTTTTAGTTATGAAATTATGGATGTGTAGTTATGCAATTCTGGATTTATAATTATGAAGTTATGGATGTGCAATTATGCATGGTGTAATTATGCAATTCTGAATTTATAGTTATAGATGTATAGTTATGCAATTCTGGATGTATAGTTATGAAGTTATGGATGTGTAGTTATGCAATTCTGGATGTATAGTTATGAAGTTATAGATGTGTAGTTATGCATGCAATTCTGGATTTATAGTTATGAAGTTATGGATGTATAATTATGCAATTTTGAATGTATAGTTATGAAGTTATGGATGTGTAATTATGCAATTCTGGATATATAGTTATGAAGTTATGATTTTTTTTTTAAGTTGACGTCAAAACGACGTCGTTTTTACATCTGTGTGCACCATACATGGTGCACGGCCTAACGCTACATATAATTTGCCGAGAATTTTGTGGGTTGTCAAGGTGAATCTAAACGGGCCACTCATTCATGGTTCTGGTATTGGGTATACAAGTGGGTCGAGTTATGGGTTATTTCGCCATATTTAAATTTTAAAAAGTCCAATAAAATTTGTATTAACAAGTCAATCATTATTGTATGCATCATCGACCATAGAAATTGTGTGGACCATATTTTATCTACTGTAAAATAATGTACATTATATTCAAGAAATGTATACTATTTTTATTCTGAGTGTACATTATATTATATAATGTACATTCAGTACAAAAATAATGTACATTTTTTTTTGAGAAAAAAATAATATACATTTAGTATATTAAAAATGTATTTTTTGTTATGCTCCACATAACATTGTGTGGACCATGATCCACACAATAATTTGCCTATTTCGTATTTTAATTTTTAGAGTTGATTGAACTCGTAGACTTATAATGCTATTTTTAACTAAATGAAATTATGAGTTACTTAGGCAAAATTTTAATTATATTTATAGTTGTCAAAACGGGCTCAACCTGTCAGGTTGGGCCCATTTAATCCCTTTTTAGGCTAGTTGGGTTGGAGGTTTCTCTAACCCGGCTCAACTAATTCGTGGCGGGTGGTGAGTTATATGGGTTGGCCTGTGGGTTACAATGCTCTGTCAGGCTGGGGTGTGGGGGCCCTTAGGGTTGAGATTCAATTTTTTGGAATAATTCTAATAAAAGTTAATAATGTTAGATCCTTAACTGAAATAAAAAAATGTCGGTCCTATTATTTCTTAAAATGAATGGTTCATATTATTTTGATTTTAATATTTTTTAATGATTTTTCTTATTTTACCCTCTATTATATTATTTTTTTCCCTTAAATAACCTAAATTAAGGGAATATTCCGTTGACAATTTATTATTTTTAACTTACTCATTATTAATTTATATAAGAAAGGTTTTAGGTTCAAACCTCATCCAATTAGAGTTGACATAATTATTAAACATATACTATGAATATTTTAAAATGTATTAAAAATATATATATATATATATATATATATATATATATATATATATATAATATAAAATTTAACATAAACTTTGGTCAAATAATTAGTCCGACTAAATGCATAACATTCAAAGTTAAGCATCAAAGATTATAAATCAAGAACTTTAAAAATCATTTGATTTTTATGCATTAAAAAAATTAGATTAAGTTTTATTTTTTTTCATTTAATTAATCTTCTTTTGATTATTTAGATCAGAACAAAACTTAATATTTCAATTATACTTTTGCATTATTGGTATGATTTAGGTCGTTATGGTATTAATGTTTTTGTATGTATTTTTATAATAGTACAATTGTACATTACTTTACAAATATTATACTATTTTTTTATCGAACAAAATTGTTCTTACATCATTGGTAGACCTGCTCGATCTAAGAGCAACCACACCAATGCATAGTATGGGGAGATTTCAGCATTAATTCTTCTCAATGGGGATAATAACTAATGTGGAGTGGGGATATTGTGGAAATAATCTTCCTGCAAAATTGGGGAGAATGGCAGAAAAGGAAGAAAGAGAAAGAAAAGGAAAGAGTGGCTGCTGTGCGCGTTTCGCGCACAGCAGCCCGCCCACACGGGCGCGCGAACGGCGCGCCTGACAGGTTCTATTATTTATTTTTTTTCTTTTGTTTTTTAATTTTGATTTTTTTTTTTCTCTTCCCCACATTCTCTCTCCTAATCACTCTTACATTATCCCCATATTCTTCCCAACTAATATGGATGCTCTAACTACAAAGTTGTTGATCATAAATACAATTATACCTGGAATCTAAAACGGTAA